GGTATCTTACATGAGGCACACTGTGCATGGGGAAGCTAATGACTTTGAGATTTTTGTTAGGAAACAGAGAATTGAAGAATCAGGATGGTCCTTATTGCACAACAAAAAGGAAAAATACTCATTTTCCTGTTCTCAAACATAAACTTCTGCATTTAACATGGAGTCAAAAGTATTAGAGGCTTAAGAGATATTTTCAGCCTTTGAAAACTAAAAATAGTAATGAGTTGCTGGTTTGTGGATTTTTTCCTGTCAAAAGATATTTTTATTAATTCTTTTTTAGCAATTAAAATAAGACAATTTCTGTCCCCCTTTTGGGGGAGAAAGATTGGAAAACACTGGCAGATTAATGGAAGACAGCAAATATTCCAATGAAAGATTTCCACAGCAGTGTGTTTTGACAGAGAATAAAATGAAAAGATTTAATTCTATCTAATTCCTGTCAGTTCTCAGTCTGACATAAACTCTCTTTCTGAAAAGCAATGGTCCGTGTTCCAACTCCACCCCAGTTATAGAAAATAAACATTTTAATTTGATCCCTTCTCTTTCTACGCCAGATAGCAATCTGGACCTCGAAGAGAACAGAGAAAAAAATCTGCACACTCTTTTCTGTTTAATACACAAATCATTTGAAGTAAATGTTTATGCAATTTGATGTAGGATTGAGTTTTGAAATAAAAGATCCCAAATGTAAGAGTTGTGGCCTGACACTTCTTAGCATAATTTTCAAGATTAGATATATATGCACAGCTTAAAGCACATACAGTGTTTTGGTGGGATTTTGCATGTCTTGACCCAGTGTGCTGGTTATTTGCAACCTGTGGTGGAAATTAGCCTCCTACCACGAGGAGAGTTTGTAAGGCACTACTGTGGCATTACTGAGGAGTACTAGTGATATGAGTAGGTTAAGTGACTTGATGAGTAAAGCTCTGCTGCGTGAGCAGAAAAGCCAGATCTGTCAATACATGGGTTTAAAAAAGAGGCTGTGGGAGACCTTAAAGCAATTAGCTGTCCAAAGAAGCTCCAGGCTTGTTTGCTGATGTGGGAAATCGTAGCTCTAGAAAAATCCTTCGAGAACACAGGATAAAAACACATCTCAGTGAAAGTAGAGGATTCAAAAAATACTTATTCTGAGAGGTTTTTCTGAAGGTGAGAGTCTAGTGTGACTGGACAGTGACCGGTGGTCACTGTCAAGAGTGTTGAAGGAGAACACCAAGGTCGGCTGGGTTTCTCCAAGCTGACTGCGTACCTGCTGCTCTTCATGTGACTGCCCCTCAGGCAACTGCAGTCAAAACAGTAAGAATGCAGATATTTGAAGTTCACCTCATTCAAGTGCAATGAATGAAGGAGTGCTTACATGTCAGCAGGTACAAGGAGGCAGAGAGGCGGTGATGGACAAGGCTTTGCTGGGCTGCCTCAGCAGCGTGCTGCTCCTTCTGCATCACATGCCAGGGTCTTCAGTTTAGGGCATGAGCATCTGTGATGATTTTTCTTTCTGTCTGATCGTCAGTCTTTTGATTTGCAGCTGCTTGGCCCCAGTTTTATGTAAATAAATTTTAAAATTGTTTTGTCCAGCCTCTCAAGCTGTAATGAACTTCAAATGAAGAAATTGCACACCTGAGACTGTGAAATACTGATAAATAAAATAGCAAGAGGAGAGATCTTGGGAAAGATGCAGACTAAGGAGTGGTTAGGATACTTTCTCAAGAGAGGCTACTTAAGCCTTTTATTTCTTCATCAGATGTTTTAAGAATTCCCTGAAGCATTTTTTGGTAGAACAAAAGCCTAAATAATCTTGATTCTTGCCAGCTCCAGTCATTCCTGTAAAAGTCATGCCTTGCATCTGTCTCTGTAGTCTTCAGATAAATCAGCACCCCCTCACAATATCCGTACAAAGCAAAGAGCGCTGTTGCGAGTCACATTGCTGTGTGTTAAGTGCAATTGCTGGTTTTGCCAGGATGACTTCATGTCCATTTCCTGAACTCTCAAGCTTGTCCAGCACAGTAATTTGTATAACAACTGTCTTGGCCACTGAGCATCTTTCCTTTAACGTGAAAAAGTGAGATTTTTTCCTGTCCCAGCCACGTGTATATGTGTGTATATGTACAAGGAGGAGTGCAAACGCCAAGTCCTTGCCTTGCTAGTCTAAACTACTTTGCCCTTGAACCGTTGTGTGTTGTGAATCCACTGTACAACTTGCCAAAAATAAACAGAATTACAGGCATGAAAGAATTAGGTAGGTTTTTCAGGACAATGTATGTTCCCTGTAGCCAGCACAGGTGAGACTGGGCAAGGTTTTAGTCACTTCACAGAGTTCTCCAGCACTACCCACCAGGTCTCCTGGTCGTGAATTCCTGGTGTCCTCCTGCTCTGCCTTGGGGTGCCTGGCGCATACCACTGTGCCCAGGAGGCACCAGCACAGTGGGCTGGGGCACAGGTCTCGTGTATTTTCAGATATGTTTGAACTGTTTTCCCAGTCAGAGTGAGCCCAAGGAAACCCAGGACCTCACGAAAGCACTCTTCGGACATTGACAGTATTCTTGAGAGGAGCAACACCTGGCCAGAAGCCTGGGGACCACCTACGTTTGGCCATAGGTGGTAAATGTCCAAGATGCTGTGAGTTATGGTCACAAACTGCTTGGTATGTAAAACTCTAACCTGGATATCTCTACACATAAGAAAGTACTTTTTGAGCAGCAGTTTACAGCTGATTTTGCCTTTGTTTGTGGAAACACCAAGCAGGGTCTGCCTCTGGTGCAGTGCCCGTTGCTGTGGGTTCCCTGCTCTGCCCCAGAGTACCCTGTTACAGAGAATGGTGTTACATGTTTATTCTTTCCTGTGTCAAACATCAACTAAAGAAAGATTGTGAGACAGTTCAAACTATCCTTCCTGTATACCTTTCTTTCTTCTCTTTTTCCTTTTGCCATCTGCTACCCAAATCCAAAGCATAGATGCGTCTGTCTGGTGTTGCTGAATGTCCTTGTTTTCTCTCCTATCCCGTTTCATGCTCATGCTTTACAGAGTCATTCCAGCAATGTTTTTAGTTATTTCTAGAGAGGTGCAAAATTAAGCGTTTAGTTTTTTTCAGTTCATTGTTGTAGCTTATTTTGTGGGAGTTTTAAGAGATTGACTTGAGATCAGTGAGGTTCTTCAAAATGAGGGCACTTTAAAATGTATATGTGGGATTTGGCAGATTTTTTATTTTTTTCCCTTCTTTCTCCCCTCACCCTGTCCTCGGACTAACTGGAAAAAGGGTGAAAAATCCACCTGTTTGAGATTTGCAGTGTATATAAGTCTTCAGGTGATGTGAATAAGCAGAGCTTTTAGTGGCATGGCATGCCACTTGCTAATTCAACACCAGCAATGTGTCAGTGGTGCCTAGGCAGTGTAATTTGCCAGTGAGATTTTGATCAAAGGTATTTTGAAAGTGAGGTCTGTCTTCAATTACTTCTGCTTTCTAACCAGTTAGAAGGTTGTGTGGCAGACAGCAACTAGAAATCTTAAAAGCAACCCCTTAGAGCAGCAGAGTATGTTTATCAGTGGCACAGGAATGTGCTGCACTGAAGACGACTGGCTAATATGCTTGCGGGTGCACAAACCCAGAACACTAAGAATTACTTCGTGTATATTTTCAGTTTAAAATTTCACGTGTTTCAGTCTTATTTCTGTCCAAATAGGTTTGATTGTGCATCTGAGTGTGTGTGCATCTGCAGGAAGTATTTTATATTATGTATGCATTTTTAGAGAGAGGTGGATTCTATTTTGGATTAAAGAAAACAAAAGAATAAACAAAAGTAAACTTACAAAAGACCTCTGTGTCTAATTTTTTTTTCTCGTTTGCTTTACAAAAGTTGCAACTTTTGAGTATGAAAGTACTAGTGTTTACAAACAGTTCTAAGGAGCAGAGAAGTTCAGGAAAAATACTTTATAGCTACGATTTGTTTCTTGGATAGTTTGAAATGAGCAGTGAATAAAGGGGAAATGTGTGCAGGAGGATTATGCACACAGGCAAATGACAGCAGTTAGAATTTAAAGAGCAAAAAATCCTAGACAGTTATTCAGAGTATCATTTTTAAGTAAAAAACGTATATCAACAGCAAAAAAAGCCCTGCGAGTTTTGATAAGGAGAAAAATGGAGTGAGCAGAAGCAGATGCAGGAGGTTTTCCTCTATAGAATAATAGTGGGAATTAGGATGAGAGTATGTTAATCCATTGGTGAACCAGAAGACAGGAATCTGGAAAATGGACAGAACAGTGCACAAAAATGACCTGGAGGAATTGACTGGTGCTGCTTAATATTCATCTAATTCCTCTGACATTAGCCTAGATTTGACTTGATTATGTAACTGAATGTATATAAGTCAGCCTGCACATGTAATAGAATATTGCTTTGAAATGGTTTTTCACTTAATGAAAACTCCCTGGAGGATGCCAGGAGCTTTTCCACACCAACTTTTTGCTACTATGCTGATGAGGTTGTCTTTTCTTTGGAAAGTGTCTTTCTGGCACATACCCTGATTGTCAAAGTAGCTCAGTACTGATAGCATCAGGCACTGGTCAGAAACAGGGGCTTGGTGTAACAACAGGCTGGTGGTCTGCCTTTTTGCCTCTAGAAAAGTAGTTTGTAATTTCTGAAGTCTGATTGTAGCAGTGTGTGTGATTGTGCAGATGTATTGGGTACAGCAGGCAGTTTAAAGATGCCTGAAAGTAGAAAAGAAGGTATATAGATGGGGTACTTGAATTACACTTGCAGCTGTTGTGTAGAGCTCATTGTTACCCCTCACTATGCCAGTAGCACTACTCAGAGATTCATGTTGAATAAACCTAACAAAACTTTAAAAATTAAATACTCAGTATTCGCTGTACATGTAGCATAAATTGACAGGACTAACCCCCATGCAGCTGGTGTAACAGTAGCCCTAGGGAGGGCAGAATAGAATTAGAAGAAAGGGGAAAGAGAGGAGCCAGACTGTGGGAGTAAGCAAAGCTGAAACAGAACTCACTCTGGTGCAGTGATACGTGGTCCCTTCCTCAGTGCACAGAGTCCCCGCCGAGTGCTGACCTTGGTGGAAAAGGCTTATATATACTGTTTCTTAATATGCAAACCACTCCCCGTGACAAGTATGCCATCATGACTGACTTTCTCTCTCTCTCTCTCTCTCTCCCCCTCCCTCCCTCCCTCCCCTGTCTCACACAGACACACAGAAAGTAAATGCATCACTCCCTCAGATAACAAGCAAGCTTTGTGACTTCTTGACTAGTGCAGCAAATTGGGTAGTGGAGTTCTTTAGCTCCCATTCAAGGGCAAGATATACTTTAAAGTGCCATTTTAAAAAAAAGATGATAATAAAAAAAATAAACACTGGGGAGCTGAGTCAGATGATGAGTGGGTTGGTTTTTTTTAATGTGAAAAGTGTGGAGCAAGCCAGGAAACATCTATCCTAGATTATTTCTAAATAATATGAAGACTTATAGTATCAGATCTAATTATACGCCTTAGATATCTGCAATCTCATTAAAACAGAGGGATCAGAAATAAAAACAACTAAAAAAAAAATATTATTTTTTTCCATTATCAGTGAAGAGGGGGAAAGAGGATTTGAGCAAACTCTGTCCATGAGTAATGTACATTAGTAGTCAGAGTTCTGTAATGTTACTGCTTCTTATCTGTCATGGATGTTGTGCTTTTTTGTTTGGTTTTTTTTTTCCTTTTTCCAATTAATTTGTACTTTGACCTTAACAAAGTCCATTCAGCATTGCTGTGCTTTGCTTTCCTCCTTGTATGGGACCAGAACACAGAGGCATTGGAGCAAACCTTTCTGGTGCTAAAGAGATAGGTCTTATGTGTGCTGCACAAATGAGCTTTGAGGCCTCATTCACTTTGTACAAATAAACAGCTGTGGGTGTTATTTGCAGGTGCAAAGAGCAGCACTAACCAAAGCCCTCTCCCCCAGGATGAGGAGGTGCCAGATCCTTGTAGCTTGCACCATTAATCATTTGCACCAGGTCAATTAATTTCCATTCAATATATATTTTTCCCTGATGTCAACAACCGAGTTTTCAACCACCACTGGCCTTTACAGCTAAAAGAACATTCACAAAAATCCCCTAGAGTGTCTTTTAATTGGGACTTGTATAATCTGAGTTTTGCGCCAAATTGCCAAGGCTTACCTTAATGGTGGCATTTCCTTGCTTTTGGGCTTCCCTTGGCTGCAGATTTATGCTTTAACATTCCTTTTCTCAAGCCTGTTAATGTAGGGGTGGTAGTTTTGAGTACATCCCAAAATGGGAAGTTTAAAGCGGTTTAACTAAAACCACATTTCAGCAGTTTTTAATTGTTGATTGTCCATAAGGCAGCCTCTATGTGGTACGACAGTTCCCTCAGTTGCAGAGAAGCGGCTGAGATTTTTTTCCTTCAGAAAACTGAAGAAATACTTACGATTCTCAAAAACATTGCTCTTGGAAACAAGTAAATTGAGTATGAAACAAACTTGTTTTACAAACATTTGAAAGATTTTGAGACACTAAGAAGTTTAGTTTAAGTTGGAGCAGAGTGTGGAACACAGCACTATGTTGTGGGATCTGGTTCTCAGCCTTCTCGAAGTGAAGCAGAAGATATTCTCCAGGGATTGTTTTCAACAGACAGCAGATTACTCTTACCTTGGCAAGGTCACTAGTCATAATACATGATAGAGCATTAGTAAGAACATTAGTAATCTAGCTTTTATTTTTGCTGTGAGACAGGTAATGAGGTAAAACTGTACCTTCACTCCAAGAGTTCCCTTTGTTGAGTTGGTATGAAGCACAATCACTTCTTTGCGCTGCAATTTTACCTCAAATGACTGACAAGGCAGTAAAATCCCTTTTTCCCTCTGCCTGGAGGAAGTCTTGGATGTGGATCAGGGAGAAAAGCTTTCCAACCTGTGGCAGAACTGTGCTGGGACAAAATTTTTACCTTCATATTTTGAGTGGGTAACTCAGTCCCTGCCCAGTGGAAGCCATGCTCAGACAGTGTATCACGGGCAGGCCTTATTCCCTCCCCCTGGTGCTGCTCTGAGCACCTGAGGGTCTGGCAGGGAGCACGGTTAGACAAACAGTGGGATTTACAGAGGCTGTGCTCAGGAGCACCTATTAATCAGGTGAGTACAGGTCTTTACAAGTTCAGGAGGTAGGTTTCTTCTGAAGAAAAAGTAATTCTTCCTTTCTGCCAGGTTCTGCTCAACAAACATACGAATGATCAAATAAATTTCTGCTCTTCCTAAAACAGGAAGCGATTTCTGCCTGCAAGTTGAAAATAATGGAGTTAGTAATTCACTGAACTGATTTAACCTTAGCTCTCGCTGTTGATAATTTCTCACAGATTAAGCTCTCCATTTCTGTTGCCCTTTTGGCCTGCAACAGCTGTTCATGGCATGAAAAATTTGCTGAACCATCAGGTGTATGCAGTCAAGCTGGGACTGTGTACCAGTTCATTGCACAAGGCTCTTTGCCTAAAGTGTCTTTCACTTCTATCCAACTTCTGGAAACTTTAGGGTGGGGAGAAAAAAATGGTCAAGATCATACTGTATTAAAAGAAACTCACATAAAACACACGTGGAGAGACATCAGTTCAGGTCAGGCACCTTCCCCTTGGACTGTGGCGGAGGCATTTTCATGGGAGGATCTGCAGTGAAATGCCTCCCAACCCAGCAGTTTACATTTTGGCAGTTTGCCCTTTGGTCATGAAGCAACATCTGGTTTTCTTGTGTTCAGCTGAGCCACGTAGACAGCTTTGCAGGAGTGTGTCTGATGATTGTGTGGTGTCACCAAGTCAGTAAAAGAATCTTTTCTGTGCATTTTATACTGGGACATGAAGATGTTAACTAAACGACACGTTTTCTTTCTTGGTCAGCATGGAGGCCCTCCTCTCAGTTCTAAAGCCCTAGATAAATGCAGAGGAAGTCACATGGATTAAAATTAAATCCAAGATTTAGTTTGGCAGATGTCCCATTCAGAGCATTCACAGGCTATTACGGGATCAGTAAACTACAAGGCCGATCTCTTGCCCTGTGGTTCCCTAAACATTGTGGGATCACTCTGGCTATTGACTCATGGCCAGCCCTTCACCACCTCTTCTTTTGCAGTTACTGCTTCACCTTGCACCCCAGAGTTGACAGTTAAGCAGAAGATTTGAAATAAGACACATCATGTCATGCTTTTTTGTTTTAAGTCTCTAGGGTGAGATAGCTTGCTTACTGTGTGTGTTGGTAGAAACATCTGCAGCAGAAGCATTTCCTGACAGCTGACTTTGGGCAGAGTAAGGGTCCAGCTTCCCCTTAGCTGAAATGGGAGTACATACATAACCACACCACAGGCTTTAGCCTGCTGGAAGGGAAATACCAACCAGGCTTTTATGGCGAGCTAACTTTTGCACTGTACAAGACATAACTGTCATATCGAGACTGGTAACCTGCAGTTAGTGCATCTACCTGTGTGTCCAGTAGAATAAATCCACTCAAGCCAGAAGTTTCACTATAAATTTAGATGTAGCTGTTGTGTTCACTTCCTTAGCAACTTTCTCACTGTGTCCTTGCCTTTTTTAAAAAAATTCAAGTGTTACGCTGCTATTACAGACTTGAGCAAATGGACACTTAGTATAAGACAGGAAGTGAATAACGATACATTTCATAATTTTAAGCCCCTTAATGAGGGAAATTGGACCTGTATTTAGAAAGCTGCAAATGCAGTGCCTGTGGTTGAACTTTTGTGTTTATATATAATAGAGCTCAGTAATTTGCCTTCTCTTTTAATAAGCAGAAAATTCAGCCAGAGCAACACAGTTTCAGACAGATCTAATATTTGGCGAATGCAACTTAAGTTTACAAACAGTTTTGCTCAAAGGAGTGCTGGGGGGGACACTGAAATTACTAGGTATTCATTTTTTGAAAAGTCAACACATTTAAACTTTTTATTGTGAATTAATGTTCTCATTGCTTTTTTCTAGTTTGAAATATAACCATAAAAAAAAGGTGAATGCACTTTAAAAACACCGTCTGGGTAAATATAAGCATGTTCTAGCATTTGCAACTTGCTTTGCTCATGCATATTGCATTGCTTTATGATATTTTGTAAAAAGTATACAGAAGGGTCATAAATGTATTCAAAAGAAATTATCCATTCTTAATCAAATGTCCTTCCTGTGTTACTCTAGCTCTAGTAAAAGGCAGCATTTAATGATCAATGAGATCATTAAACAAGAAATAGTAAGATTTGCTTTTGAAGCAGAGCAGCTTAGAGAAGTAACCAACTCCAAAGAAGCCTGCATTCTTGAGGGTTTGTGTTTAGTTGATAATTTTTTTTTTTCTCTGTTCCTGGCAGCAGGGAGATTTGTACACAGAAGAGTGAAATGCATCAGCTGAAAGATTCATCTTCAAATTGCTACATGAAAAGCAAAAGCAGTAAAGAGCAGATCATTAGACACAGTTCTTCATGTTCAGAAGTGGCCTCTTGGCTTTATTCACAAGAAGTAGGGAAGTTCATGGGTGAAGATGTTGTATGTGAAAGACCCTGATTGAAAGCCAAGTGAAGGTGGCTTGAGGACTTGTGCTAACTTCAGTGGACTCTTGTCTCAGTTGCTGGTTTTGCACTTGAGAATTTGGGCAGGAAAATAATGGCTCATTTAGTTGAAGCTTTTGGAATTACTTTTTCTAGTACATTTGGTTCAGCCTTTTATGTAGGTAACACTCAGTCCTGAGTTAGCTGGCAGACCTTTTACTTTCTTTATCTCAGCACTCCTATTTATGAGAAACTGGCCAAGGTAATGAAAACCCACTTATCATATATAATGCGTTTATCCTAACAGCTTCTCCAGCTTAGCAGAGGAGCAATGACACTCTTCCCAACTCATAGGGAGCTACATGCATACATGACATTTAAGAATAAATTCTTGATGAATAGCCAGAGGATCCATCTATTAAAAAAATGCAGTTCAGCATAGAGACACAGAGTGGAGGTTTGTGGTATGTCAGCTGATGGCTGACCCATAC